AATTTTATTTTGTGCTCCACTTTAGATGAAAAAATCTGACTTTTAAGTACATTTAATGTTATTGGTATTATTTAATTTGATAATAGTGAGGCTTAAGCCTCAGAGTTTACATGCCCTTCGGGCTTGTAAGTATGCAATTTCCACATGCCCGCTTCCAATTTTACCAGGTCCCGGGCATCGGACTCCCAGGATTTGTCGAAGACTGTGCTCATCGGCCCAATATTGGCCCGATATGTTGGGCCAACGTTGGCCCAATGTAAAGTGTGATTCTACAGATGTTGGTCCAACATTAAACCAACATTGGCCCAATGAATGCGACATTGGATCAATGTTGGACCAACATAATTAATTATTACATTGGACCAATGTTGGCAAATGACGTTGGCCCAATGTCAGTTAGTTCATCGGCCCAATGTTGGCCCGATATATTGGACCAACATTGGCCTAATGTGTAGTCAGACACAAATTTAATTGTTATAAATCTGCATATGAACTAATTCCATCGTCTCTACAATCAGAAAAAAATCTACCCCCAATCCTACTTGAAGATACAAGTTAGCTAAAATAAATAATAAGTAATATCAGGCTTGTTTAACTAGTTATATTTTATCAGAACAAAATAAATTATTAGTGATGGAGTTTATTGTTTTTACACAAGGGAATCAAATAAAAGTAGAAATAATAAATGTATTTTGAATATAATTTTTAATATAATTAAAACAATAAATACACTGTTCTAGTAATTTTGCCCTTTTTTAAGATTAAAATTTGTTTCTAGAACAGATTTCCAAAGTTTTCTACTCATTGTTACTTTATACACTTTTTTTTTTCGCAAATTCACTTGTTATTAGGTTTAACTTAATAACCAATCACTGTCCTCTGTTGCATTTTTGAACGCATTTCCTTCTTTCTTTCCTTGTCTGTTCTCATTTTTCCTTCATGATCACATGCAGTGGAATTGCTAATTTCCATAGGAATTCATTCGGCAAACAAGCGGTTATAGTTCGAACAGCTCCTTTAAATAAAAGTTAAATCCATTTAGCAAATCTCAAAATAAAGAGAAATGCTGAAAACAAACAGTAAAGTCGTAATTAATACAAGTTCATAGTGCAGAAAAAGCACAGTGATTAACAACTGAACTAGTTACATAAAACTTAGGCGAGCAAAGAAAAGGTAGAAGATGCATTTAGCATGTTTAGATAAACAAACTTTACATTTTGTGCATTAAAATCTTAAATAATTTGAGGTAAATATTTTATTTTTTATATGGTACTTACATTTCTGTATATGTGAAATATCTGGACACAGCTCTAAAAATCCACATTAAAGAGCACACATTTTAAAGCTCTCTTTTTTTACATAACATCTTCAACGTTCTTCTGTAGGAAACTTCCGTGATTAAAATGATGCAGATTTGACCATCCCGTCCTATCAGATATCACGATTACCATAGAAACTGGCCAGTCTCACGCTGTGAAAAACCCTGTCCTAATTGCTTGGTCATTAAATGTGCTCTTATCTTGGAATATGCTCCCTAAATCCGACACTTTAGAAAAATTATGTAATGTAAGTATTTATAGTGTGTTTGTCTGATATTTTCATTTTTATTTATTTATCTATTTATATTTTTGATATGCAGGTTAAATTAGATTTATGCATACTTGAATAAATTTTTATGTGATTCTCAAAAACATTTAATTTATTGTAGTGTTTGAAGATTTAAACATATTTTACGTTAAATTACTTGATATTTCACCAGATCATCATGCATGTTTATTTTGAACACACGGTATGTGTAACATTAAATATAAATAATTATATATATAACTATATATATTTTTTTCACTCTCTCTTTGTCCGATCTTATAACGAACTCTTCACGTGTTCCCTGAATTCTGACTTCGCCCCGATGTTGGTTCAACATTGTCTACCCAACATGATGTATCAAAATAAGGACATAATTCACAATGTTGGCCCAATGTTGGGCCAACGTTGCACTCCCAACAAACCCTGTCAACTTAGTGGTGACAAGCTAACAACAGTGGCCCAACGTTGGGCCAACGTTGTGTTCCCAACCAACCTCGGCTTCTGAGTAAAATAGTGTCGTGTTGACATTGGCCCAACCTCGGGCCAACGTTGTACCGGTATACCCAACGCCAACCATCATTTTATTTTAGATCTAAGGTAGATCACTAGTACTAGCTCTTACTGCATAAAACATATATACCATGGAATTTGCAGTACCAGGGAACTGGAATGAAATATGAAGATAACGAACAGTATTAAAGCTTAAAAGTCCATTCAAACAATAAAATCCGGAGCAGATCAAACACGGACCTCTTAAACACCAGAGGTGGGATCAGGTACCATGGAGGAGTGAGCATCCCCTGCCGACCGGTCACACCCGCCGTGTGCTCCTTGTCATGATCGGGAAATAACTGAAAAATCCGTAGACAATTCAGTGTGTAAATACTGGCCTAACAACTAGTATGAAAAACGTCGATCAGCATTTGACTTGATGATAGATTGAATTTGCTGAAGTCATTCTATCGACCAAAGAACTTGCGAAATGCATGATGACGTTAAACGAGACTGATATTTTTGTTTCATCAACTTGTTTGTCAATAACTTACCTTGTTTGAGAAATTGTTCGTAAGTAGAGCATTCTATTGCACATCGAATCAGCTGAGAGATATAGACCTCATATGTAGGTGATAAGGGTATATTGCTACATAAGTAAGAGACGTTGACGATTGAAAAGTTGAAGTCATCACGTTTATCATAAAGCTTTGTTGTTAGGTTACCATTAACGCCCTTTTCTATTAGAATATCCAAATATGAAACAGATGTGTCAGACTCTGTGGTATCGTTGTATAGTTACTGTTGAACAAGATAGTAGTACCACAAAACATCAGCAATTAAAATACCAACCATTTTGTGGGACTATTCAAAGTCTCATTAGACATGGTATAGTAATACAAGACAATAATAACACAAAACATCAGCCATTAAAACACCAATCATTTTGTGAGACTTTTCAAAGCCTCATAAGACATTGAATAGTAGTACAAGACAATAGTCCCACAAAACATCATCCATTTAAACATTTATCATTTTGTGGGACTATTCAAAGTCTCATAAGACATTGTATAGTAGTACAAGACAATAGTCCCACAAAACATCAGCCATTAAAACACCAATCATTTTGTGGAACTATTCAAAGTCTCATAAAACAATATGTAGTTGTACAAGACTTTAGTCCCACAAAACATCAGAAGTCAATATACTTATCATATGTGGGACTATTCAAAGTCTCATAAGACATTGTAAAGACAAAATTCCCACAAAATATTAGCCATTAAAACACCAGTCATTTTGTGGAACTATTCAAAGTCTCATAAAACAATGTATAGTTGTACAAGACTATAGTCGTCGCACAAAGCATCAGAAGTCAATATACTTATCACTTTGTGGGACTTTTTAAAGTCTTTTAGTACAAGACAGTAATCCCACAAAACCTCACAGATGTGTCAGACTCTGTGGCATCTTTTATTTTAAGCTCAATGGGATATATCGTGTCGACATAAGAATGGAAGTAACTATTGTTAATTGAGAATACGTCGTCGATGTACCTAAATGTTGAGTTGAAGGCCACAGCAAGCGTTTTCTTCTTCTCATGTATAAGATTTTGAATAAATTCTGCTTCATATGAATACAAAGATAGGTCTGCTAATAATGGGGCGGGATTGGTACCTATGGTAATTCCGACAGATTGTTGGAAGACCTGGTCTCCCAAAATTACATGAATATTGTCAATCAGAAACTCAAGCATCTATTTAATATCAATTTCAGAGTAACTGTGTGTACAATTAGAATGTTTTGAACAAATTTAAATAATTTTGCAAATGACCAATGACAAGATCAGTAAATTGACTAGTTCCATTTTTATTGAAAAAGCAGCTGTCAAAGACGTAAAGGAATGGTCGTATATAGAGTTGAAGATTCGTAAGTTTTGATGTTGTAGATTTTGGTAAAAATTTGTGATTTCAATTTTTTTCAAAAGTCCCTTGGAAGTTTTCAGTATCTACATCTAATTTACGCCACTTCTTGAATATATTGTTGTACAGTACTCCTGAAGTTTCTCCTTCACTGCTGTTAATATTTTAGTAAGGAGTAAAAAAAGAGGCTTGGTAGAAAATTTACTGGAACATGCCATGTATCTTTATTTGTAGGGATTTTTATGAAGTTTAGGAATCAAGAATAGGTGTGGTAAGAACTCTAGTATGCAGCTCATATAGTTATCCAGAACTTTTAAAACTGTAAATCATAAAATTTTGTATTTTTTGAAAGGGAATTGGATGAGACCTTAAAAACCGAGGTCCCGTGTCACAGTAGGCGTTGGCACAATAAAGAACCCACGCTGCTCAATGACCCTGAGTGCCGAGTATAGGTTTAAATTTGAAGCTTTATGATGACGTCTCTATATGAGTGAAAGATTCTCGAATGTGACGTAAAACAACATACAATCAATCAATCAATCGAAGGGGAATTTGTGGGGTCCATAGCCAAATATAAATATTGCATTCAAGTAGCAGATCAAGCTAAGGATTGCGTGGTTGGACCCCCATGGGATTTTCATAAAATTTATATAGTAAAATAACCAACAAATAACCGTGGACTTCCCCCCTCCCTGCTGGAAACTTGGATACCCTCCCCATGCAGGAAACAAGAATCCCTCGTAAAGTTGTTAATATGTACAAACACTGTAGGAAAGAAATCGGCTGGTTGCTGACAAGTGTCGCCCCGAATGAATATACAAAGCTAGAAAAATGAATGTTGCCTACCAAACTACACTGAAAATGAACTACAATGCATGATCGACATGTGTCAATGTCGATGGGGATGGGGAGGGAGTGGGGATATTTATATCTAATATATCATCATTCATCCATTCATGTACCTGGTACAATATATTACCTGTAAGCGATATCAGAAATATATAGACTTTGAATTGATTTTAATTTCTGTAATTGTGTTTAACTTAGCAACATTGCCTTCATTTTAGTTATTCAAGCTTTACTTTTCTGGATTCAGTGGCATTCTTCTGAAATAAAAAAAAAATCAATTTTTAAAAAGATATTACGATATTTACAAAATATGATCTTTATATATTGTATTATTTTCTTATTATAGATGATAAAGAATGGTATTTATGATATAGAATCATGAAAATACTAGTATATTATTTCAAAAGCTTTCTTAAAAAAGATGTACCAATAAATTACCATAACTATGTCCCCGTATCGAGGATTCGGGGGTATATAGTTTTTGCCCTGTCCGTACGTCTGTCTGTTTGTCCGCAAAAACTAACCTTGCCCACAACTTTTGACTGGTTGGAGCTATGACTTTCATATTTCACATGTGTATTCCTTGTGACAAGACCTTTCTTTGGGTACCATCAAATTTGACCTTTTGACCTGAAAGTTTGGCCCACATTTGCAAAATGTTATATGAGACTTTAACCTTGGCCATGACTTTTGAACAAATGGAGCTAGGGCTTTCATTTTTCGCATGTGTAATCCTTGTGACAAACCCTTCCTTAAAATGCCAACAATTAAAGCCCATTGACCTTGACCTTGGAGTTCGACCTACTTTTGAATAAACTTTAATCTTGGCTATAACGTTTGAACAGTTGGTGTCAGGGCTTTCATACTTCACTTGTGTATACCTTCCTTTACATTCCACCAACTTTGACCTCGACCTAGGAGTTTGACCATTTTTTGAAAAATTTTAACCTTGGCCATAATTTTTGAACAGTTGGTGCTAGGGCTTTCATATTTAACATGTCTAATCCTTGTAGCAAGACCTTCCTTTGGATACCAACCATTTTGACCCTTTGAACTTGATCTAGGAGTTTAACCTGCATTTGAAAAACTTAAACCTTTGCCATAACTTTGAAACAGTTGGTGCTAGGGCTTTCATACTTCACATACATAATTCTTGTGACAAGACCTTTCTTTGGATACCAACACCTTCGAACCTTTGTCCTTGACCTAGGAGTTTGACTTTCATTTGAAAAACTTTAACCTTGGCCATAACTTTTGAATGATTGGTGCTACGGCTTTTATATTTCACGTGTCTATTTCTTGTGAGAAGGCCTTTCCTTGGGCACCATTAATTTTGACGATTTGACCTTGATGTTTGACTTACTTTTGAAAATCTTTAACCTTTTCCATATTTATTCAATGGTTGCTGCTAGGGCTTTCATATTTCACAGGTATATTCCTCAGACAAGACCTTACTATTGGGTACTAACATATTTGATTTGCATTTGAGAAAGTTTAACCTTTGCTATAAGTTGCCATACGGGGGCATAATTGTTTCACAAACACATCTTGTTTTCAGAGGATCAAAACGAAAATCTGAGTTTGAGTTTGGACTCTATATAATCTGAAACTCTTAAATTATTTGAGAGTTATTTTTTGATAGCCTTATTTTTTTTTTTTTTGGACATACCGAAATTTAAAGGCCGAGGTTTTCAACCGGTCGGTTTTCCTCAGGTAAGTTTGGTGTGGGGTGGAGCTTAATTGAAACGGCTGTGAAGCCCCGAGGGAACCAACTGGCTTGTGTATACCTACCTATATACACAGGATGTTACCTGTATATTACCTGTAAATGTTTTCCTAAGACATAGTTTAACTTCGCGTGTTGGTCAATCGAAATGTTGATCGTCAAATTTATGAAATAAAACATGCTAATTTTTTTTTATGTAGACTGATTCCTTTAGTTCAATTCTTTTTTAAAAATATGTTTGAATAAAGGAGACAAGTTTAGTTTAATTTTGTGCGTTAATAAATTTCAAATCTTTAGTTGTAAGCTGGCGACACCGAGGGAAATAGTCGTTCACAAAACGAAAGTAGAAAAAAAACGCAGTCCTGAATAATTAAGTCTCTAAAACTTAGAAATCCTGTTTGAAGGCTAAATTTTGTAGAAAATATATAATAAATTAGATAAATATTTTTTTGTATAATTCCTATGTGATTAACCCATGACGCATGCATGTTCCGTAAAAATGGTCAAGGCATCCGCGTATTGTTTCTCCGACAGGTAGACGAAACGGGAATATAATCACTTTATCCTACTTTTTTCCTCGGGATACATAATTCTAAACATAACTTGTATATGCAATGACAACTTTTATAATAATGGCCTAACTTTCATCACCATGTCTCGAAGAAATATTACACGTCTTAAAATTTTTAACTTGGACAATATGACTATCTCATAATTATAAAAAAAGAAAAGAATTATTATTTTATTAAATTACGTGATGCTTCCAATGCAGGTCGGTATTTTCTGTTTTAAGTAAAATCGATGTACGTGTAAATTTGGATAATCTATACTGCATTATAAATTGTATTATAGTGAAATGAACCCCCCTTTCTTAATTACAAATTAAATAGATATATGACTGATTTTCTTATTCATTTATTTAATTATTTGACAGACTGATTAAATATAAATTATATATGGCTTATTGCTTTATCATAAAGTTAAAAAAAATAATATTAGCTCTGGCTGCTTCTTTATCACGATGTTATAAATTATATGCGGTAGGCATCAAAGACTGAATGTTAATTCAACGATCGGTACGATCCCCAGCCAAGGTATACAAGATATACACAACGGCTGGTAACAAAATGTCAATCAATTTTCAGTATCCAATCTCAGGCTTAATTTTATCTGATTGACAGGGGTTCAAAGACCAGGTAAAATTGAGGGCGGTGCTTATTTCCTCCCCCTTTAACTTACCGATTCGCTCATTATTTCTTGTTGTAATTTCTCTTGTTCTTCTGGCTTTAATTTCGACAGTTCTCGCTTGCAAACCTCGTCCAGAGTATTTCTTCCCAATGAGTTTTGAAATTGTAGCCTACAAAATAAAATAATATGAAACAATATACATGTAATATAATCTGATATAAAACAATATAATATAATATAATATAATATAATATAATATAATATAATATAATATAATATAATATAATATAATATAATATATAACTCGACATTTAGATATATCGACGATATGACGTATTGTCAATTAACAATGGTTATTTCCATTCTTATGTCGACACGATATATATATCCCACGATATATCCCGGTGAGCTTGAGCTAAAAGATACCACAGAGTCTGACACATCTGTTTCATATTTGGATATTTTACTTGAAAAAGACTTAATGGTAATCCAACAACAAAGTTTTATGATAAACGTGATGACTTTAACTTTTCAATCGTCAACTTTCCTTACTTATGCAGCAATATACCCGTATCACCTGCATACGGGGTTTATATCGCTCAGTTGATTCGATACGTCAGAGCATGCTCTTCGTATGAACAATTTTTAAAACGAGATAAGTTGTTGACAAACAAGTTGATGAAACAAGAATATCAGCAGTCTCGTTTAAACTCATCATTTCGTAAGTTCTATGGTCGATACAATGACCTTGTCAGCAAATACAATCTTTCATTAAGTCAAATGCTGACTGACTTTTTTCATACTAATTGTTAGGCCATTATTTACACACTGAATTGTCTACGGATTTTTTCGTTATTTCCCGATCATGACAAGGAGCACACTGCAGGTGTGATCGGTCGGCAGGGGATGCTCACTCCTTCATGGCACCTGATTCCACCTCTGATGTCTTAGAGGTCCGTGTTTGCTCTGCTCCTATTTTGTAATGTTTAATGGAAATTTGAGCTCGAATTCTGTTCGTTATCTCCACATATTTCATTTCCCCCACTTTAAAAGTAAATTTGCCGTGATTTTTGTCAGTTGATCGAATTTACGAATTTAAAAAAAGAAATTTTAGAATAGTAAAATACTTCTAGGGGGTGCCTTTAAATTCTTCAACAATACATTTACTGAATTAAATGATTACGGAACGATGATTGACTCACGGTGCCAACATAATTCTAGAGTCGTGGTTCTGAAGTATAAAGACATGTACGTTTATTTATAATAAATTTTTAATTTCTAAATAATATTTTAAAATGCAACTAACAATTTTACGGTTACATGCAAATTATTTGTCTTTGTTCATTCATGCGTAAAGTCCAGCGATGGGAGATAATTGATTATGCAAGGTGAAGCAAGCCAAAGTGCCCTAATTAAGAGATAATTAAGTGCTCTACCTTAAACATTGAAAGACGTTATATTTGTTTGATTAAGATTTCATTTAGAGAGAATTTATGTTCTGAATCTCTGATTATTACAGAGCTTACTGTATGGCAAAATTTTTACTGTGTCGCACGCAGAAAAAATGAATCGTTACTGTGTCGGGGAAAATTTTACTGTGTCGGGGCCGACACAGTAAAACAGCTTATGGAGAACCCTGTATGATTATGTAGCTAATAAATAGTCTATAATAAATAACTACTAAAAGTCTAGAACATTTTAGCTTTCAATATCTTGGCGTTTTATTGAATGCTGAGTTTGTATTACGTATATTAGTATGCCCGAAACATTCCGAATACGAGCGTTCAATATCGATCGTCCCGTTGTAAACAAAAAGTGTCGTCTGGTCAACCTCTCAAAGGCAAATTTATGATAGGTAGTGGCATTTAGGTAAGGTGTGTTTATTTCTCTTCCAACCGCTCGTGACATTTAGTGCGTCTAGACTCTGACGTCACATGATGTCGTATGTAAGTAGCATTACCAAACCGAAGTCTGAACAGTACTGATTTTAATGAAGAACGTTTTATTTACTATTTATCTGCAATATATCCGTTAAATCAAGGCGAGTTTATTTTTTGTTGATCTTTTGTTGTTATTCTCGCGAGAACGTAGCTTAACAAGCGATGCATTGTGTGTCCAGAATTACTGCAGAAAAATTCTATTGAATGAATGTGCAGTAGTCCGAATTTTCTCTTCGCCCAGGCGTTGTCGTGTAGATCTCGCAGTGACGAGCGGCGCTCGCTATTAGCCACAATAAAAGCTCAATAAGCATATCATAACGCTTGGTAGTATGGAAGGGAATTACCGCCAAAAGTCTATTTATCTTGCTTTTATTCTTATTCTGCCTACTTCTTTATTTTTTGTTATTATTGTAACTATATGTCACTTTATTGTTTCATATTCGTCTTTATTACATTTCACTTTGAACTTTTATCATTCTTCATTTTGTCCTTACATCTATGTTGCTTTATTCTTGAAAATACGTTCTTCTTTCTTTCAAATAGATACAGTTTCTTTAATAAATAATTATGATTATCTCTATTACAAATGTAAATTCAGTCATGCAAACCATGAAGCACATTCAACGAAGACGAATACATTAATGCTGCATTATAACGCTAGGTGGCAGGGTGTTCGCGGCGAGTGTTGGTAAAATTAGGTACGCAAACCCGGGCCGGAGTTATTCGAGATTTTTCAATTTTCTGCCTTAATACTTCATCAATCGAACCCAAATTTTCAAATGGTGTATGTTATAGGTTCAGGCATGTACCCGGTGTCGTTCCCCCTGACGGCTGGCTAGATGGTAAAACTTCCCCCGGAGGACTAGCTATATAGTGAGACTTCTCCAGGGGAAGTCTCACTACGAGTATATAGTCAGTCTTCACCCTTCATAGCGAAACTTTCCCCTTTAATTTAGAATATTTTTTTATAATTATAAAACAATGTTTATATACTAACGTTTTCAGTGTTTGGATGAAAGTTCTCCGTCCTATATGAATGAATAAATAAATAAATATATGAATAAATGATTAAAACATTTTAATAGTGATTTTTATAATTAAAACATTAATTTAACCATGCAGGTAAACATAGGTAAACTGCACGTTTCTACGGGTAATGGCCTCTTTACTGTTAAATTAATTGTGTCTAAATTTTCTTTTGATAAGAATCGTCTCGGAACAATACAATAATCTGCTGTGCACGATAAATTTTTAATGCGCGCTTTAATATTGATTCATTTGAAACTATACATTTATATATATATATCTATACTTATAAATAAATATATTTTGCAAATAAACTCCGAAACGGGTGCACTAGAGTTCTTACTTACTCCTCTAACACCACACTAGATACAAGCTGATGTCCGTAAACTATATTTAGATTTCACTCGCATAGTAAGTATCGTACATTAAATTCAAAGTCTACTTTCATTTTCTATAAACAGCCATGAAATAGCTAAAACGTGAGTACGGTGGCGTTTCCGGTTGGCGGATCTAAGTTACTGGCAATATTTAATGAAACTGACAACAAGCAATCGTTTATTTATTACATAAAACGTCATCACTGAATTATTCAATCAAAACTCGATTTAAATGATATAAAATAAATAAGTTGTGATAACCGATTAAAAAGGGAAATGTGCAAAATATTTTCGTCATTCACCGATCTTTATATTGACGGAAGCTTCTAGAACATCATACAGCATCGAACCCGATGTTAAGAAAAAAACGTGGCGATTATAGCTACATGACCATAAGAAAAAGCTTTTGTGTAAATGGTCATAGTTGAAATAATGGTAAATCACTGATAACACTATAAGTTGTGAATATAATTATATATCGAAAGACTATTACATATACATGTATGTAGTAGGTTTTCCTAATAAATTTATCGGTAAAATTTGTATATATTCCTTACTGAGAGCATCGTGGCAACGAACCCGAAGTACAATTTGCACTTCGTAATAAACTTGCTTACATGAAAAGAGAAAATTAATGAATAAGGTATTGTTCAAATACAATTAAAGATGTAAAAATTTGCGCTTTAATCAATGCACAGTTAATTTCTGAATACAATCTTTTATAGCTGCAATAATGTAGCCCTCTCCTTTTTTGAAGGAAGGGGGGGGGGGCGGAGAGAGAGGCCAGGCTACATTATTGCAGCTTAGACTTTTGTATCAAATACTCAGCCTATTCATAGGGCATTAAAAGCTAATTTTTACACAGGTACTTGGTTCTTGGTTTATAAAAATGTATACGTACCTTATTGATATGTAAAAAAGTAAAGTACATTTTTACATATCAATAAGGTACAAACATATTTATAAACCAAGACCCAAGTACCTGTGAATTTTTACCCCCTCCCCCCACTCGTTGTTTTTATCCTTGACGGAAATGAAATAAGAGCATCTGAAGGACAATATCCATAACATAGTATAACAGGTTTCACAATAAACGTCAATTAATGAAATTGCTATTTTTTCAAGTTTTAAAAAAAAAAAAATAATAATAAAACAAACACAAAGAACGGGGGGGGGGGATAGGTAAATCTACTTCATGCGGGATTTTGAACAAAGTATTTGTTCCTGCTATAAGCCTGTAGGCTGTCAGTAGAGAACTACATATATTTTCTGTCGGTATAGTGGTATAAATTCAATTCCCCGCGCTTGCGCGGGATTTCATCTAGTAAGTATATATATATATATATATATATGTATATATATATATATATATATATATATATATATATATATATATATATATATATATATATATATATATATATATAAGATCATTACCTAAATATGCAATATATACATCGTCGATGTAAATAAAATCCAAACCAAACTCGGAAGGGAAGTCTCACTATGGTCGTTCAGGGCGGAAGGCTCACTATATAGTCATTACCTCCCCCCCCCCCTCCCAGAGGGGAAGTCTCACTATATAGCCAAGCTTCCGGGGGAAGACTCACTATGGAGGAAGTCTCACTATATGACACCGGTAGCGGGGGGGGGGGGGCACCAAACATTTTTCTAGTCATAACTTTTTACTACTGAAATTGTTCATTGAAAGTCTGGTTGCCCCTCCCCCCCCCCACTTTTTGTCGCAGTATAGTCAAATAAGGGTCATGAACGTAGTGATGTATGAGT